ACTATTTAACACTTGGGAACATGATTTAGAAATTGAGAACATTTTTGGCATCTAATAACATTGCTTAGAAAATTAGAACATTATCTGCTAATTGAAAGCGTTACTTAAAATAGGGAACATTTCTTAACTTTTGAATGTATTATTTGGAAATTAATAACACGACTTAACACTTTATAACGCTGTTTAACGTTTGAGAATGTCACTAGAAAGCATTACTATGTATTTGAGAAAAGTTGCTATTAAAAATTTTACTTAACAGTTGTGATTACTACTTAACATTTAATGCGTTTCCTTGGCTGGGATCATTATTTAGCCATTTAAAATATTATTTAATAATGAATGTCATAAATTAATCATTTAAAAGTATTTGTGTGCTTTAATTGGCAGTTACGGCTATTATTTAGATTACGTTATCTTGTTCATCATTTCAGTGAAATTTATAGATAAAGTGTTCATACTTTTCAGTATGTATAGTTTTGGTGAATAAAATAGTTAAAAGAAATTACTACCCTCCTATTTTTTAAATTGAGGGTTAAATAAATGTGATGAAGTCACGTATATAAAAGTACAAATTTACGATTGCCTGTAAATGTTCAATAAATAAGTTACTAGATGCATACAGATATTTGATACGCAGTTATTTGTATCACATAATAACAGTTTCATTTTATTTTTGTAAAAGTTTTATATTTTTCTTCGAACATCAAGTAGTAAAATACGTAATAACCTCCAGCTGAACATGAAAATAGTAAGTTTTCCCAGTTTCACCTTAAGACCTACTTAAATTAATAATAAGCTCTGTTTTATTCAGTAAGCTTGTTCTTTAAATACTTCAACTTACGAAAAATGCTTATTATTCAAACATGATCCATCTAATTGTAATGCTCCCTAAAAATCGCATTCAGTTATGAATATTATCCAAACTAAGGGGGTAAGGTTTGGTCTTGTGGTAAGGCTCTGGATTTCGGAGCTGGCGAGTTGGACTTGAATATGTGCGATACCACATAATATTCCAAGTTATTTAACACACCCACAATTTATAAGGGTGACAGCTAATTTCTTAGTTCCGTTTATTTATTCAGTTAATCTGGAATTAGACATGGTACGAAATGGGTATGTTAATTGAACATAGGGACAACGGACACAATTTAACATACTGTGAGTACTGCACCAACGTAACAAGGATTATTCCATAGGATTCAGTAAGAGTGCAAACAAAATAACAATTCCTAACAGGGTGGAAGAGGTCAACGCTGAACCTTACCATATCTGGTCCAAAACGTGGACCGAATTCCGATGAAGAAGAAACATTAGGCTTAGTTACTCTATCATAGATACAAAACTAAGAAACTATTTAATTATGGATAAAGAAATATGTTTAAAAAACATATTTCTTTTCTTTTTAAAACACTATGCTTAGCTAGGTTCACTTAGCATCACCAAATGGTAAGCTTTGAATAGAATCACACAACAGTTCAAACTGTCACGTGCTACATTATCAGAATGCTAATACGTCACAAAATTAGAATGGAAAAAAAATCAACAATTGCTAAGTAAGGAAAACAAAAATTAGGATAAATATAAACATATCCATTAATAAACAAATAACATTATAGTTTAACAGGTTCTTCCTATAAATCATTCAAAACTAAGTAGTAGTTAATATTTCTGTATACAAGTATATTTCTATATAAAACCCCGAAACTAAACTCCCCTGGTGGGTCAACACTACGTTTACGGACTTACAGCTTTAAAATTTGGGGTTCGATTCTCAACGGTGGATAAAATGCATATAGCGTATTGTGTAGCTTCGCAAGGGTAAAATAACAAACACCCACAACGACACGAAACTCAAACTTACAAAACTGAAGAAGTTTCATTTATTACTCTCTCTCTTTAACCAAATACATCCGGGTCTCCCATTTTAACCTCTGAAAATTCGTTGCTGCTTTTTCCTTTTATTTCATCTTTCCAGCAACTAGGCTCCTTCCTGAAACATCTTATTTTTATTAGTATTTCGTAATATTAGCATAGACTTGGCAATAAAGTGGAGTGTTTCTATAGCTCCATCTGCGCTCTAAATTACTATGAATACTTTGTTATTTGAAAAGGCACAGGTCATTTTTATTGGCATTGCTATGACATGCGTAATAGAGTTCTCATCGAAAACCAATAATCGAAAACTAATGTATCTCAAAAACCGAAACTAATTTGTACAGAAATGGAAGTTTTGTTTGTTTTCGGATATTCGTGCAAGGCTACACAAGAGCTATCTATCTGCACCAATCGTCCCTAATTCTAAACTGATAGACTAAAGACAAGGGAGCTAGTCAATAGTACCCACCTTCAACTCTAAGGATACTCAAATAAATAGTGGGATCTGACTGTCAATCATATAACGCAACGTACCCACGGCCCCAACGTACAGAACGCAGTTGTTTTCCACGGACCCTTGGATCCACAGCTCGGTATTTTAACCATTAGGCAACGTATGGCCCTTCGTTATTAGAAGATTATATAGTAAAGTGTTTTCTTAGGCGCAGAACTACATAATAGGCTATCTGCGTTTGTTCCAACTTCGAGCATTGAATCCCGATTTTTAGTATTATAACTCCACAAGCTTATTGCCGAGCCATAGGGGAATATGATGACATGACCTTATATATATATTTTTCATCAACGTGTTATGAAATTTCTATTTGGGAAAAGATACATGAATGAGTTAATAACGGATAAAAGTGAAATTATAAAAAGTATGTTTACCATACAATAATGTTATGCGCACTTCGAGTATTTTACACACGCGCACACAAAAAATCTTTCTCACTTGAATTTTTGAAGTGTCGAAAACATCTTAATTCTGGGGAAATACTGTCCCTGCAAGTCGTCATCAACATATTTTTAAAAAGTTCTACATCAGTAACGCTTTTCCATAGCAGAAGCTTGTAAAAAATATTGCGACATTCACATAAGAAAACCAAACCATAAACGCTATAAACAAGTGGTTTATGATGAGACATGCGTAAATGGAAAAAAAAGGCAAATAAATAAACAAACAAAGAAATTGCAGATTCTGTATGCTTTAATGCACGTTTAAAAAAAGGTCTAATTTTCAAGAGTGTCGTAACTGTAATGGCCCTTGAGAACAGAATACCTACCATTCCACAGCATTTCTTTCTAGTCTACAGAAAAATAGACCGGTTTACCAAATTTTTGTTAACATACGCTCAACAGACAACAATTTAAAAGAGAAAACAGTCATTTTTTAGCCCTCTTGATACTATTGCGCCCCTAGTGGAGAAAATAAGAATGTTTTCTTAAACTTCATTTCAAATATACACTTTTCTGCATTTTTCTCATACATGTATAATCAAATATCCCAATTTCAAGCTACAGAAGTTAAACTCATTCAAAGTTGTTGTTTTTTTCTTTTTCGTTTCTAAATGTATTTCAAAGTTGGAAATATTTTTAAGAGCTCTCTAATGGTGATTATTGTATGATAATACTGGTTGCAAATCCAACCCAACGTACCTTATTAATAAGAATTAACATCTTTTGCTATTTTATAAAGTTCAAATAAATAAATTAGCTCCTGTGTCTCATTTGGAACGTCATATAAAATTTTATAATGTACACCAAACATTTTGAGGTTTCGAAGAAAAATAATTTTAGAAATTTACATAGTAGCAATCCTATTAATATTTATCAGCGAATTACATACCGGTCTTGGCTTTTTCTTATTCAAGAGTTCATAAAAAACAAACGACGGGTAATCATACAATTCGGTTTTTATTAATAGTGACTAGAAAATTCAATGACAGATGGCGGTTTCTGCCATTTTGTTTCCTTTCTATTTTTACAAGTTTTGATTGTTGTTTCGGATAGTCGATAAAAAACTACAAGGGGCTAGAGCTACTAGCTAACCTTAGTTTTGAACCGATATACTTGAGAGGAGACAGCTACTGAAAAATACTTACATCCCACTTTCGGGTTTCTCTAATCGCCATTTAGAATGCATCCGCGGCCCTAAATTGTGGAGAGCAATTTTGTGTGTGTGTGTGTGTGTGATGATGGGACGCGAACATTGGACCCTCGTATTCACGGTCCGATTCACTAACCAATACGTCACGCCCGGGCCAAAACTGTAAAATATGAGGATGGAACATGCAATGTCCAAGAAGTATAGATCAGTATTAACAAATGTTCATCCATTATTGTTCGAAAATCCCTTACGCAGATAGCATCACTATAAATATATATTTTCACTTTTGTACGAAACCATTCCAATATTTAATAACAAAGATATTTTTAACATTTACAGTCCTGGGGCAAATATTGAGGACAATATTAAAATTTGGAAACCATTCGTAAATAGTTCTTTAAGCTTGAAAAGATTTATAAGCTCAAGTTGAAACTATTTAAAGAATTATTTGTGTACTTCACTTTAATAAATAAAGTAACATAATTAATTAATGCAGCCTGATTACAGTCAAATGTGATTATCTTAATGATGTTAAAGTGTATAAGTAAAGAACTACGCAATTATGTTGTACAGTAGCATATTTATCCCACATCTCGCAACGTGTTTTTTAACCTGCTTTTTTAGTTAAGTAATGTGTGTGTGACTGCTCTTAAATACGCTAGGCCTAATATCAATTATAAATGAATAACTCATTTGTTTGATGTCAGTCTGCTTGCTATAGAACGTAACCTAGTGTAAAACTAGAAACCTTTTTAATTGTTTAGATTCTGTAAAGCAGGTGCACCTCTTGTGAGCGACTGAGTGTTAGAAAGTTCTTTAAAATTATGCTGTAGTTTATGAGTGTTAATGATGTTTATAAAGGCGTTTATCGTGCCTATATTCCTCAGATTTTTTATAGACACGTTAACTTCAATTGGAGCCATTAATTAGTACAAAACATAACAAATATGTTCCTATCGTCAACTGTTTAAGTTGGAAATAATTCACTCAGTAGTGCTGCTGTTATTATTTTTTTTTTATTATTCATCTCATTCATTCTGGAAATTTAAGAAAAGTAGGGATAAATATGAGTCTTCAGATTTATTTGAAACATAGGAACAACGTTGCTGATAACAAAATACACACTTCATCGCTAGGTGGTGTTCTATCAGCAACTTTGTATATTTGATATTAACGTTAAATAACATCATGAGCTCAGGTTATCATATCTCTCACTCTGCTATTTTGTTCTTCTAGAAATTATTATGCGTTTTAGGCTTACATATAACAATTTTTTCCTATTGGAAAATACGACGAAGAGTGATAGATAAAATACAACACTTCCATGACGATTTTTGTCTACTTTTAATCAGTCCAGAAAAAGAAAAAATTAACGTTTTGAAAGTTCTTTCAATCATTAATATCAATTCTGAATGAATTCATAATTCTTGATTTTTTGTTATGAGTATCTACAAGTATACAAAATGTCCTCCGAAAATTATTTTGCACAGAAACTTCTAAAACTAATAATAACAATAAAACAAAATATTTTCTTAGATTCTGCTTGGTCTTAATGTTTTGGAGTAGCCGAAAAAGTTTAAAACCCAAAGAAGGTCTTAAAACAAATAATAACAAAAAACATAACGGAAACAATAATAATTAGCATTGTCTAACACTTAAAACTTTCAACTGTATTTCAAATATGGTTTCAAATATATCAATTTTCTTTACACGTGGAACTGTACTGCAGTACTTCCTATCGTATTATCATTTTGTATCATTCTTATTCGAATATTAACGGGTAATAGAACTATTACTTATATCTAAGAATTTAAATTTCTGAGAATTATCTTTGAATTTCATTTTAGTCTTCCCTTTCTCTCCTTAAAAATTTAGAGAAGTAAAGATCGTCCTTACCAATGCCCCTTCTCGTTTCACTTCTCCATTAATGAAAAAAATGCAAAACAACTTGCACCGCAAAGATTTCAAACAATTACAAGCCTAAAAGATATTCTACAGCAAGATATGTTGATTATATCTGCAATAATATTTTTATTTGGTTTATAATCATTTTTCACTATTTCAAAGTGAGAAAGCAGAGAAGATGTGTAAAGACCATCTTTCTTTTTTAAACAAATCCTGGATATTAATGTTGAACACTTCTAATTTCTTATTAACATTTTGGGAAAAAAAATAAACATCTTTAATCCAGTCCAAATTTCGTTTAAAAACTTACATACTTATATAGAGATGAGACACCTTGTTTATTTAGGAAGGAGAGGTTTTTTATATATTACGACATGTTATAGATTTTGAGCATTAAGTAGTAATAGAATGGGGGTACATTTTCAAGAGAAATAAAACTGGATTGTTTCTTGGCTTCTTTGTCTGGAGCCTTAGAAATGCATACGTTTATTTACAAAGGTTGGCCCATGAGCCCTAAGTAGCAGAAGAAAAAAAAACTTCAAGATCTGGGAAACAGCTTACACGCACATTATCACAGTGTTGACTATACACACCATACATATTTTACTTGTTACCTAGGCAGAAGCTACAATAGGATTTAATTTCAGCTCAAAAGCAAAACGTTCTTTCCGTTTGATATTTATACCAATTATTTATACACATTAGAGCAGCATAAAAGATTTTTATAGTTACAATATTTACGATGAGCAGTCAATTAAATTTTATCTTCACAACCAGAATTTACTTTATTTTGTTTCGCGCCACATGAAGGATGGCATGAGAACCTTCAACCAACAAGTACTTCTAGCTAATAAGAAGAAGCTACAAGGGACCAGAACAAACCACAAACCAGGACAAGCTGTTATCCTGCAAACAGTAGTTGTGTGCTTCACCACATTGCCTGGCGTGATCAAAATATATTCGACTAAATTTTCAATAAAGAATAAACACTTATAAGCAGTCATGTCCCTATTGTTCTGGAATCGTTCACAGGCCTAATATTACCATATGATTCTTGTTCTTCGGTATTGTGAATGGGTGGAATGTATTGGCTGGTTAAGGCTTTATTCCAGCCCTTTGGCACTCCCCGTCTGCTTAAGCTGTGTCTGGATTCTCCCGGGTTCCGACTAGTGTGTTGGCAGTTGCCATCATTGGTATAAGGCTCTTCTTCGTCTATTGATGCGTATATATTGTCCTTCTGAGGGTTAGGTATGGATCTAAGCCCTGGTTTTGCTCGAAAAGTTTCTAACTCGACAGGGGCAATTGATCGCTGTTTACTAGGCATGGGACTCTTACGAGACTGACTATCAGAATTTAATCCTGGTCTTTTATTAGGATCACTAATTCTCTGATTGAGTTCAGAAAGAACAGCTCCCGGTAGTCCTCCAGCCTTAGATCCAGAGGTTGGACTGTACATCACCGATGCCTGTTCACTATCCTGGCCAAATGGATTAGGAAGAGGAGCAGGGGAGTCTGTATGACGCTTATGAGACCGTCTTTCATTTGGATGATCAGAGTATATTTCTCTGTGGCCACTGAGTAGGTATTCAGGTTCATGTGAAGAAACTTTAATATTGGATGATATGCCAGGTTTGTCAAGGTGGGTGGCAGAATTTATATTGTTTTGTGGAATAGGGGCGTCACCTCCCCTTTGTAAAGTAGGATAAGATTGATCTTTACCTCTCATGTTCTTATCTAAATAATAATGATGCTTGGGTTGACTCCTTCCATTACCATGTTTGTTTCGAATACGTTCTGAAGACTGACCGACATTTTTATGAGTTAAAGATCCGCCCTTATTTCCACGAAAAAGTCCACGTAGTTCTCGCGAATCAGAGATGTCAGTAAGTGCGCCTTCACTGGACCCAGAAGCCACGTCTGGACACAAGTCACCTCCAGTGGAACCTCGGAGACTACTAGTTGTTGAGTCCACAAGAGCTGCTTCTTTAGGGAACTCTGCAAGGCTCAGCTCGTCTTCTGCAAATTCGTCTTCACTTCCAATTACTCGAGCTTCCGTTTCACTGTCCTCAATGTCTGAATCACCACTACGAGTGTCGCCCTTCTCTTCTGAACCTCCTGAAACCTCTTCATATATAGGATTAAAGTGTTCTTTACTTTTATTTGATCTCAAACTTCCCATCTGTTTACTTGAGAAGGTAAAGTTGGTATGGGAGAACTGAGGTTGTGAGAAGGCGCCATATTTAACATCCAGAAGCTGCTAATAACAAATAAGAGAAAGACTGTCAACATCACTAATAAAACAAATATAAATATACTAATAAACGTTTTAAATTATCTTTAAGAGCTTAACATTCATTTTTTTAATACTAAAAAAATTGTATGGAATTTTTTAAGGCAATACTTTTTATCTTTTGATAATACTACAAATAACCCAAAGTGTTAAAGTCTTTGGTAAAGCATTAATACAAGAAACAGGACATGACATTTCCAGCTACATCATGAAATACGTTTCATGTCTGATGTTATTTTCACAGTAAATAACTTCAACCGCAGTTACTTCTTGTACTGCTAAAAAAATGCTGTTTAATCTATTCCTTGTATTACTAAAATAAACTTTATTTTATCTACTTTTCCCTTATACAATAATTTCGGGCAACTGCTTGTGAAAATTCTATAAATTAAACTCTTCGCTAATCAAAGATGATCCGTATAACTTTGAAAGACATTTCAAATAACTATAGTTAGTAAAGTTCACAAACGTTTATTTTACATTTACTTTATTAACAATGTTTTAATATTCTCAAAAAATTTATAAATAAAGAAACACAACGATTCATGCAATTAATTCGCCGTTTTCAAGTGTGAACACCTTGACACTTGAAAAGGTTAACTCAGTGAAATGTCGTGTTCCTTCTTTATTCATCAATATTTAGAATAGTAAGACATTTTCTGACTTCTAGTTTACGTAAATCTCATGATATATCAGAACAATACGTAGAATGATCAATTCCAGATAATGTATTTCTTTATTTGGAAACAAATATTCTTCTAATTATTAATGAAAATATTTTGTCAAGTAGAATGTATTTGTTAAATGTACGTATATTCTAGAAATCAAATATTGCGATACTGGAAAAATATTACTTATTTCTTTAGGTTTCAGTATTTCGATTATTTATGATAAATAACGTTGAAAACAATAGAAAACATATACGACCAGCACTAGAATGACATGTAGACATATTTATATAAAATAAGAAAACAGCTACTTCTGTTTAATTCTGTGCATTTTCTGCATTGTTCCTAAAAGGCGGTTGAACAATTTATACTAAAAAGCTGATACTGGATGCATACGCATACCGAAGAAATATTGTGGAATAAATAACAATGTGTAATGTTAAAGTTTCTTACTTTCTCAGTCATAATGTAAAGCCGAAGGAGGAATCAGTCTGTTGCTTTGGATAAGCATAAAACAAATTTTTATACATAAAAACTAACAAAATGTAAATCATACAAGCCCTACCTTTACAGTTAGAGGAATATAACTCAAACATCGCCTTTGTTAAAGTGTTTTGCCAAATAAAATTCCTGCTACACAAAGACAATTAATCGTGGGGTTGAAAAAGATGCTTCAGATCCACCGAATAAGTTTTTATTGAAATACTGACTTTTATACAAATGTTTTATGGATTACAATCTTGAAAAATAAGTTATTCTAACATTTATTAAATCTATTTTTGTACAAGAAATACAAACCAATCTTTATTAGGTAATAGTATTCAGAGCAAAACCAGCTGAAGAGTAGCTCTTTATAAGTATCAACTGTTATCAAACAACTATTTACAATATAAGGTGAAAGACAACACCCTTTCTGTTAACACTTGCTTTGCATTTAAAGAATCGCTCACAGAAGAGTATTTGAACAAGGGTGTCGTGTCCTTTAATTTGTTTGTTTCGGCACACTGCTACATAACGGGCTATCTGCGCTCTGTTCAACATGGGAATCGAACCCTCGATTTTAGTGTTGCAATTTCGTAAACTTAATGCTGACCTACCAGGTTCATTAAACTGTGACTAAATGAAATTAAGCGCTGAAGCTATGAATAATGATTTCCACAAAGCATTTTTTTATTTTCATATAACTGAACAGTGATTAGACTTAAAACATAATCTAAAAATTTTTCAAGCATCATTTTGTAAAGTCATAAGATATTGTATACAATCTTACTATAAAGATGATCCATTACATTATATGTGTGTTTGTGTGTTAGCATGGGTTATTTTATTTTACGGTTTGTTTTCTTTTGTATAGAAACAAGAAACTGTGCGACCGTGTGCAAGGGCTACTTTATTTTAGGGCTTTTGCCCAAGAAGGAGGGGTAAAAGAGACCGTGAAATAGGGCACATTTCCACTTTTTAAGTACGCTTTTGGTTTGTTTCACCTAGAGTTGGTTGGCTCGATTATAGTGATTTTTGCATAGTAGCTGGACACTGTCCGGCGGTGTAGACGGGTTATTTTGTTTTAAGATTTTTGCCTTTGAATGAAGATATGAAACACTCTGAAACAGGGAACATTTTCAGTTTTTATAGACTTTTGGCTTTGAATTTAAAAACACAATACTTAATCGGTTAAATGGGTCAATTATCACCTTCCACAAAGCAGAATAAGAAAGCAGAGAGGTTAATATTTTCTAGCATTGTCCTTTATACAATATTTGCTTCTTTACCGGGTACTACCAGCTAGTATATTTAATATAAAGTTATTTTTTGTGTCCAATAATACTAATCAAACAATATTTTGGAGAGAAAAAGTCAAGCATGTCCAACAGAAGTAAAGGATGCAAAGTGAAATCAAACAATATGACTGTGTAGTTTTAACTGTTTATGATATTCGAAAGATATATACACCTGGAAAAAAGTTAAGCACCCCCAAATATTTTTCAGAATTGCTTATTAAAAATAAGGTTTAA